CCCCCCAAGTTAACTAGTATTATATATAAGTTGTTCATTCATATTTAGGGCAGTTTTTCGTACATTTTCTGTTGAGGCAGCCGTTAACGTCTCAGGTTTTCCCCTTTAGGGTTGTATTTGAGGGCAAGTGGTGCACTGGTTGTATCTCATTCCGATACGATGGCTATCCTCAACCTTCTTTCACCTACACACTTCCCATCGCTGCCGAACAGCCTGCAGCTGTTATTTTCCTGCAACCGCCTACCAACCCTTTTTGTCGTTCATCCCAGCCGCACCCCTTAACCTGTCGTGCTGCCACCTTGTTCTGCTGCATCAAACCCTGCCATCACTTACTCCCCTCCTTGCTGCTGTCTATCACAATCACCCATCCTGTTTTGTCTTGCCGCACCCTCTTCCCCCTCACAACCACCAACCAGGAAATACCACCCTGCTGTTCCCTGCTCTACCAGCCTTCTAATGTCACTGTTCACCATTCAGCCAGCCACATGTCGTCCTCCCCTTCCATCTAGCCAGCCACCACCATCCCTAGATTGAACGCCTATTGAGTTTATGTGTCGTGTTTGTTGTTTTTTCTTTTTTTTAGTGTGTCTGATTGTAACCAACTATTTATTTTCAGTAATAATGTTTGTGTTTCTCACGTTAGCTAACTCCAGTATAACCAACTTGATGGGTGGATAGAGTTTATGTTGAAGGATTGAGAAGGAAGATGACTAGGCCAAATATAATTTTAATTAAATTTTTTAAAAAAGATTTTGCTCGGTATAGGTTAAGACCTCCTTCAGTACTCGGTGGGAATAAAGGAATAATGATAAATCATAAAATGATCTCGAATACTAAGGTTAAGGCTAATGAAGTTGATGGCGATAATAAGTCATTTTGTAGTTTGATTTACTGACAAGTAACGAAGTGGCAGAGTTATTATGTATTCTGTCATTTTGTAATTTGATTTACTGTCAGGTAAGAATTGGTAAAGTCATTGTATTCTGATTTACTTTCAGGTAAGGAATTCAGCAGTCAGAACTCTATTTCAAACCCTTGGAATTCATGGGCAGAAGATATCGGAAAGCATGTGGAATTATTGCCTTTGGACATACGTATTACCTCTCCTAGAATGTGTTTCACACTTGGTATGTTTGTACTTTATAAATTGCTCTCGTTTTAGCCTTTGATTCCATGAATAGAAGGACTCTATATGAGCATTTCAAGAACTATTTGACAGGCAGCAACTTCATCTAGTGATGAATGGCAAGGGAAAGGGAAAGAGCTAGGAACAAGAAGAGGAAAAACTGTACATATGCTCATCCACCATAGGTATTTTGAAGGAATATTTATATAGTACTCAAATCTTATGTATTTACATATAAAATACCTGAACTTCAATTTTTACACACATGCCCGCCTTTCATATGCATGAAAAGGTGTTTTTTTTTCTTTTGGCAAAATTGAGCCCAAAGGGCATATGTGCGATTTAAACTTGCGACCTTGTGGTGGGATAAAAATATATATTTCACTTCTAAAAATTAAAATAATGATATTTTTTATTTGATATGAAAGATCTGGGTGGTGTAAATGTAAGTTAGATATGTAAATACATAAGAATCGGGTGATAATGTATGTAAATACCCCTATTTTAAATTATTTGTTCCCTCATAATAGCTTGTCTTATTTGATTTTCTTTCAGGACTAACCAGTTTAATTTTTCAGTCGTGATACAGCACAAAAGCAATGGGATGAAACACTTGTTTTGGTACTTGGTGGAATAACTCGATTGCTACGCTCTTTCTTTCCTTTCCTTCAGAGTTTGAACAAATTTTCCGCAGGTGAAGGCCTCTTTGTTGTTGTAATTGGCAATTCTATCGAGACAATTTATTTTACGAATTAGTGACCAGGCTGCCCTTTATGAATTGCAGGATGGGAGCTTTTGCTACGCTTTATTGAAGATAGCATTCTGAATGGCAGTAAGGAAGTTGCTGTTGCTGCAATAAGCTGTTTACAGACAGTTGTTAGTTCTCATTGTTCAAAGGTGATTTACAAAACAAAAAAGAATAAAAAAAAATTATCTGCAATACCACTGTCCCATCCAATTTTCACGCATATGCGATGAGGTTTAAAAGGTAAAATTGGGAACTGTGGTCTTTTGCCTTTTCACGGCGAGGTTTTAGCCTCAAGGCAAATTAAGGCATAAACCTCAGAATATAAAAAGGAAAAAACTTATATAATTAAAAATAATTCATAATATGACATGAACCATCATATTTTGATTTCATTCATTATCAGTAGCACATAAATCACAAATTATAATCTTAAATTTTCGTATAAAATAAAAGGCTAGAATGAGATTCATGCTAAGCATTCACTTAAAATTTAAATACATAATGAGAATCAAAATCTTTCATCATCTTCAAAAGAATCATTGGAAAAATTTTATCATTTGATGTTATTTCATCAGTATATGCCAAATCTTCTCCGATCACTATGTTTCTTACCACCTATATCAATTAATATTAAATCTAATATAATTTAAAATAAAAGAACAATTAATAACAATTGAATAATGATGCTTAAATTACCTTTTGATTGTTTTTGGGGCATTGAATGAGATATGTTATATATAATCATAATATAGTATATATATTAATGTTATATTAAAATATAGTATAATATATATTTTTTTACTCCATATAATTGAGGAGTTGCCTCAAAAGGACATAAAACTTTGAGGCATTTTTTGTGCATTTTAGTTCAAGATTGCCTTGAGGCTTGTACCTCAAGTGCTTTTTTAAACAAGGGTATGCAAGCATACACGTTCTTAATATATAGACCAAGCAAGATCTGTGCATGCCCGCATTTACATATTTGGCAAAATATACGTGAAAGGTTATTCTTGTATTTTCTTGGCCCTTCACCATACAAAAAACACACACCATGGTCATTTAACAACTTCTGTACTACATAAAGTGAAAAGTATCATATGAAAGTTTGTAGAATTCAAGTAATTGTGGTACCTAACTAATTTCAAATTATTAATGAATATCAGTCATGTTGATTTTCAATCTGAGTGTTTATTTACTCAAAAAACTAAAGAAAAATAAATTTGATTGGAAAATGATGTTTTCACACAATTGGATGTGGTGTATATATGCTTATGTTTGTGTATTGGCCTGTGTGCTTGCATTATTATTTTATATGTATCTTTGCATACAAAGTACAAATAAGTGTATATTTTGTACATTTTAGCATAATAATACGATACAAGTGTGCACATGCATGGGAATATTTTCCTTTTTCTCTTCTTTTCTTTTTGTCATTGAACTAATTTTATCCGGTGACCATTTTATATGAATCAGGGAAATCTGGCACTGCCATATATAAAATCCATACTTGATGTATATGAGCTTGCGCTTGAAAGATCACCAGACTGTAGGACTAACTCAGCCGTCAAGGTGAAACAAGAGATTTTGCATGGCCTTGGTAAGGTTCTGCTACCATTTCTATTTTAGAAATTTTTTTTTACGCATTTTCCTTTTCCCTATCGTTTTTTGTAACAGATAATTTTGTTCGACTTGTCTCAGGAGATTTGTATGTTCAAGCGAAGAGTATGTTTGATACTGACATGTACTTGAAGCTTTTATTGACTATACATTTAGCAATTAAATGTTCTATGATCCCTAGAGACGCGGACAGTGAAGTTGTAAGAATTTTTATCAGCACCATTTAGATTTCGTTTGTCCTACAATATCTCATAAAGTTATATTCTTGTTCTGGTGGATATTCTCCAATATATGTTGACTTCTTCATGAGTAGATTATACATTTAGCAATTAATGTTCTATGATCCCCAGAGACGCGGACAGTGATGTTGTAAGAATTTGTATGAGCACTATTTAGATTTCGTTTGTCCTACAATATCTCATAAAGTTATATTCTTGTTCTGGTGGATTTTCTCCAATATACGTTGACTTCTTCATGAGTAGATTATACTGGATAAGTCAATCGAAGTAACCTTTCTAATGCAGTTTTTGAAAGGTTTTTATTGTCTTTTCATCTGTCTGTTGTTTCACTAATATTTTTGGTACAGGGAATTCTATCACCAATTCAGCGTACTATTTTGGAGATTCTACCCCTTCTACGTCCTCCTGAACATCTTTCTGCAGAATGGTTTGCACTTCTCCAGCTGCTTCTCTGCTATCTTCTCGGTTCTGAAGTTTCTATGCACCAAAAGAAAGATGAGGAACCAAATACAGGCATAAGCTCCAGAAGGGGTAGTGCTGCAATGGGATCTTTCACTTTTGCAGGCGTTAGCAACACTGAAACTACCAAAGAAACCTGGATTAAATCAAGCAGCAATGTTTTCGGTGGATCTGAACCTCCCAGTATTCCTACTAGTGAAGCCACCCCCGATGAGACTTCAGTATGTAATTGGAACCATTTGTTTATGGAAAAACTCATACCTGTTATAATAGAACTCTTTCTGGCGGCTCCATCAACTGAAAAGTGCAACATTTTTCCTAAGATTATCAAAGGCCTTGGAAGGTAAATACTCTTTCTATTCACTTCTTTCCTCTGTAGAGAATATCTATGCGCGTACCAAAGAGTTTAAAGCCTCTACCTTTTGGGGCCTTAGGAAATTTATTTGCGTAAATCGATGCATTCTGTCATTGTGCGAAAAAACATCTTTTTATTTTTTTCTCAGCATATTTTCCTGATTTTAAGATGCATTATCCTTGTAACTCATACATGATGCCTTCTTATCTTAGTAATCGCTTATAATGCAAAGTGTGTGCCATTCTTCATTCATGTCTTTGGTTGTAACTCGTCCAGAAGTGGTGTGTATGCTTCGTTATTTCACTCCCATTTACTTGTTCTTTGCCACCTTCCCTCACGTCCTAGCACTATTGTTTTCCTTGCGGCCTGCCTTGCTCCACCCCACCTGCTAGTACCATAAATCTTCTTAGCTTCACACCCTACTGCCGCCATCCACACTTGCTGTGTCGCCAACACCCACCTATGTCCAGCACAACTGCACACCCTTCCCCCTCCATTTGCTCCAACTGCAAATCATCCCCCCCTCAACTCCTGCTGCCGCCAACCTGCACTTTCCTTTCCCTCCTGCTCACGACCAACCTCCCTACAGCAACCACCACCCTCCACCTATTATAGCCACAACCACAACCCTCCCTCTCCCTTTTACTTACTCAACTGCAATCCTAACTGGACCCTTTCATCTTGTCGCCAGTTATTCCCGCCTTCTCACCACTGTTCACCGGCCAATTCGTGTTGTGTTTTATGCCATTTTCTGTTTTGAGTCTTGATTGTAAAACTCTGTTGTTTTGGTGTAACAAATCATGTTTTCCTACTAGGTTTTGGCTTATCTCTAGTATCAGGTTTGGTCCAGGTACAGAAGTGCAATCTGATTCCCGTGGCGAAAAATCGCTCTTGCGTGGGATACTCCCCGCTTCGGTGTTTTTATATATTTTTATTTTTTTCTTCTAAAAACAAATAAACATGTTTTTGAAAACACTAAACAATTTTAGCTATTTTGAGTGTTTTCAAAAATAGTCATACTTTAATCAAATGATCAGTCATATTTTAAACAAAATAAAATAAAAATTACAGAAGTGGTCCCAGACGGTTCCTTAAGTTTTGGTTTATAGGATTAGTGTTTTCTTTAGAAATTCTGTTGATCACGCTGCTAAAGTTAACTTACTTGACTATTTCCGGTGTCTGGTATTCATATTGGTAGTACTATTGATTCCTAAGCAATATTTTATATACCGGCCACCAATTGGCTTGTACACTAGACAGTAATAAATGAGCTTTAAAACAAGAGAAAAAATATAACATGAACTAGAGCTGATTTGGTTTTTTAATCACCATAGAAATGCAGTAGTTTTTCTTCATTACAACAAAATTCTATTAAAATATAGTGAAATTTGATATCCATGTCAGCGAAGACTACAAATCACCGGCATTATCATCCTTAACCAGATGGTTTGGGGAGAAAAAGTAGGATATGAAATACAAAATCTTGGTGCAAGAAAAATTTGTGTAATGAACAGGATCTAATATAACGATGCATGCTTAGCATTTGTCTTCTATTTCCTTTCAGATGCATGAATACTAGAAGAGACAGTCCAAAGGGCTCTCTTTGGAGATTGGCCGTTGAGAGCTTCAATCGAATCATTAATGGTGACTTGATGGAAGCTGATAACAACATCAAATTAGATTCACACATTTACAGACATTCCAGAGCTCGCTTATGGAAAGAAGTCGCTGATGTGTATGACTTATTTCTTGTTGGTTCCTGCGGGCGCGCTCTTTCTTCGAATGGTGCTGCAGAATCTCTAGAGGCTGATGAGGTGATTGAAATGAATGTCCTAAATGTTCTCGCTGATATGATTCTTAAAGGACAAATAGATGCTCCTGTTGAGGTAATTGGAATACCTATAATTGGTTTTTCATTAAACTGTCTTTACTGAACATGAGCGCAGTGAAAGAACTGTTTCAATTTTTGTTCCAGATTTTACACCGGCTAGTTTCAACTCTTGATCGCTGTGCATCAAGAACAGGCTCTCTGCCGTTAGAGAGCCTTGGACAAATGCCTTCACACTGCAGCAGATTCTCTTTAAGCTGCTTGCAGATGATGTTTTCCTTATGCAGGTAATTTTATAGTTTCTGCAATTTTCCAACCTCTTTGCCTTCTAAATTCATCTGTTGTTTTTTCCTACAATATTTTTATTAATAAGTTAGCAGGTCAGACTTGACCTAGAGTTTTTGTTTAATTAAATAGGAGTCATTTTTTAAGTTACCTTTTCAATTGTAATCAAAACTTATAAAAATGTAAGTTAATGCATAACATTAAATCTGTAAAAATGTCCACGAAAGTTTTCAAAGCTTTTGGGGAAATTTACATATGTAGCACACAATTCTATTGTATTTACGTATCTCACACTTAAGCTTTCATATTGACATAAAAAAAAAAAGGTTTTTTATTGACATGCAAAGCACTTTGATGCTTTAAATCTATATGCATGAAAATGTGTATTTCAGTTTTAAAAAGTGATAATAGTTCTATATTTTATGTGATTTTAAAGATTTGAGTGCTATTTGTGTAGATATGAAAGTTTAGGTGTGAGATATGTAAATACATAAGCATATGTAAATGCTTCTTTTTTCTTATTCTCTTTATTCCTCTTATGAATTGATCGTTAACATGTTCATGCTGTTTAGCCGAATGTTAATTGTTATAGTTTATTTTATGTCATTAGCACAAGTGAGGGATTGGAATTTTTATTTCATAATTTTCCTGATTTTGTTTCCTCTTCAGGGTTACTAACTTTTTTTTTTTTTTTGTGTTTTGATGGTATTTAGTTTTCGTTTTGAAGATGATTGGCCTCCAGAACGGGCAACCATTAGCTCCGTTTCAATTGATATTCTTATGAAGCGTTGTGAGATCATACTGCAGCAGTTTTTAAGTGATGAAAACGACCTAGGTACTTCCCTAAATCTTTGCTAAGACAGACCTTCAGCTTTCTGTTAATCTATTGAAACTTATTGTTTAAATTTATTGAATGGTGTACTAAGTCAGAATCCTAATTTTTTAGATGTCTCTATATATCTTTCACTTTTTTTTAATATTTCATTTTTCTTATTACTATAGGGGAAAATGCATTGCCGGCAGTTAGAACCAATGAAACATTCTGTGTGCTGCAAGAGCTTGCTCGCATGGTTATTCATTCTGATACAGCTTCTGTTCTGAATATACCAGCACACCTCAAGGAAAAAATTGAAAATAGTGAGATTCGTAGCTGCCATGCTCATCTATTGGTTTTGTTTCCTTCAATTTGTGAGCTAGTGGTTTCAAGGTATGCATTATATAATATTTTCCTTCACCAAGTTTTTATTTTTTATTTTTTATTTTTTATGATCTTATATTCCTCGAGACTCTTGCAATTTGCAAAATGTATTATTCGTGGTATTGGAAAATAAAAATTGTATTCAGGCTACACGATAAAATTTTCTCCTTTACTGTGTCTTTCAATGACGGGTATACGATCACAAAAAATAGGGACATTTACATACAAAACACAAAATTCTTTTTGTATTTACATTTTTAACACCTAAACTTTCATATTTACAAGTATGCTACTCAAATCTTTAACATTACACAGAAATACTACCATCACTATCCTTTTAAAAGTAAAATACATATTTTTATAGATAAATTTATGACACCAAGATTTTATGTGTAAATATCAAATTTTGTATATATAAATACATAAGAAACAAAGCAAGATACCGTACATGAAAATTTTTTATATGCATATAAATGTCATACTCATTAGGTTATAAACAACATAATTAGTCAGGCAGCATGTGATAACTGAATTTGGTTTTAATTAAATTTGGTTTTGTTAATGTTATGCCTTTGCGCGATCTTCCCCTATATTCTTCTTAGTTGTTAATGTTCTTGTCAGAGGTCAAAATACCGATTCCTTATGCGGTAGGCCCTATGGTGAGAAGTCCACGCCATGTGTTCATTCGAGGATCACCGCACCACTGGGATTCGAACCCTTGACCTGAGAGGACTTACAGAAACCCCGCTAACCAACAGGCCAAAGCTTGTGCGTGCGCGCGCACGTACACGCACACACACATATATATATCTAATGTTCAATGGTGTAGGTCCATGCTTGTGGTAAAATGTGCCCTGGTGCCCCCACCTTGGGTCCACCTATGAAGTCTGCACAACTGAGATGGTGATATTTTTAGTATTTTAGGGCATTAAATGAAAATCTGAGATCTTTTGGAGGATTTTGTAATAATAAATAATTTAAAGAAAAAAATAATTAATTAATTTATTAAAACAAATTACCTATTCACGACACTTGTTGTGCAGGTTTTGAATGAGAAGCTCACTGCTCATGGGAGCATTAAGACGATGATTTTTCCTCGTCTCCTCTCATATGAACCTAGTGAGAGATAGAGGAAGCGAGTGAGAGTACGAGAGAGGGAGTGTGAGAGATCGAGAGAGTGAGGTAGAGGAAGAAGAAGCAGGAGGAGGAGAAGAAGACGACAAAATTACATGCCTGATTGATCTCTCTGCTTTGTGCCTGATAGAGAGCTCGACCGGCTCTGTCGAGTGCTCGAGCTGTAAAGGAAAGGAGGAAGAAGAAAGGGAAATTCAATTAAGTACTTGGAAGGCTCAAACCGCTCACCTGAGCTTCCCTCTTGGTCGTTGACATTCCCGAGTCAGCATTCGTCTATAATTTTTAGTGAAGAAGAGTCTAGTAATCACGAGTTATCTCTGTCTCCTTCCGATGCGGGTGACAAGGAAAACATTAGATATCCAATTCAAGAGTGTGTAGCTTATGGAAAACTATCCTCGTCCTACAAATCTTTTGTTTCTAACATTGATAATATGTATATTCTTAACTTCATTCACGAAGCCCTTGAAAGTCTAGAATGGAGGAAAGTAGTTGAATAAGAGATTCGAGCACTAAAGCTTAATGCTATAGGATTCTTACTAAAGTTGATAGACTTGTTGGTCTTCACCATAGCTTAATGGTACAATACATATTGTAGTTGATAGACATTTCATCTCTGAAATGATTAATGGGGAAATTATACAGCTAAGCTACATCCCGAGAAACCAACAAGTTGTTGATGTTTTTAACAAAGCTCTTTCTTTAAGCGCTTTCTTAGAGTTTAATATCAAACTTGGTCTCTACAACTTCTACGACTCAACTTGAGAGGGAGTGTAGAAATCTGAGAAGATTTTGTGAAGGATTTGATTGCGACAACTTATGAAACTCTTAATTTTTTTATTACCTTCTCATTTTATGTTATTTTATTTTTCATTTTAGAATTATTTTCTTTCCTAATTTAGGTTAGATATATTTGGTCCGTTTGTAAATTAAGAGAGATTGTTTTCCCTATAAATATGTACCCTACATGTGAATAATACAATAAAGAGATAATTATTCCTCTCCAAATCAGTTCTCTACAATTTACATGCATGCCACCTAATTCCTATATGTTTTCATATTTAATACCTAAACATTAGTTTTTACATGTATACTACTGAAATCATTCATATAACATAAAAAATGCTATCATTTTAACATTTAAAAGGTGAAATACTTGTTTTCATACATAAGTAAGGTGGCATATATGTAAAAATTGAAGTTTAGGTGCTAGATGTGTAAATACATAGGAATTGAGTGGTATGTATGCAAGTCTTCTTATTTTCTGAATCACATTTCATACAAACAAAATCACCTTTTGAAAATGCAAAGAAAAAGTAAAACTCTACAAAGTAAAGCTTACTTGAAAACCCAGTTACTTCCAGCAATTGTATACATTCATAAAAATACATTCCAAATAAATTTCTTTAGGCTGAATCATTTCGAGAGTTCTTTCGTTGATCTTTTAATGAGAACTATTTGTTGCAGGGAATCAAGAATAAGAGAGCTAGTTCAAGTCCTCCTTAGACTTGTTGCAGAGGAGTTGGGGTTACAGAAATCAACTCATGCAGATTCATGACCACAAATCCCCTTCTAAACTTTTATTCATTTATTGCGTGTATGTTTTGTTCATTCACTATGTTTACTTTTTTATGATTACATTATTTTAAAAACTGAAATAAAGAGAAAATACAACTTTTCTTTGTCTTTATTGTAGCAATTTTCCCTAATTCCACGTTGTAAATGATAAAAGCGTTAGAAGAGTAGGGCAATTTTGAATGGAGGTAAAAAGCAGTCATTTTCATGTCTGTTTTTAGCTTGTCATTTAACCCTAACAATTTATTTAAAAGTAATATTTTGAATTCTTAATTCAGGTAATATGCAGGCACACACAACCAATTTTAAGTTGAATTAAACTAATTTACATCAGATTCATTTTCAGTCGTATTTTTTATTGTTTATTAGTCCATTTAATATAATTTAAAATAGATAAATTTACACACATACCATACCACACAATTCTTATGTATTAACATATCTAACACCAAAAGCTTGATATTTATACTTACAAGTAAAATTTGTGCTGGATATGTGAATACATGAAAATTGGTTGGTATATATGTAAATGTCTTATTGATTTTTTTTTTTTTATATAACAGAGATTTAAATTTGTTGAGATTATGCCCCCCATAATTAGCTGACAAACTTATCATCGAATATAGCTATTTGAATATTAAATCCATAATTAGCCGACAAACTTATCATCGAATATAGCTCTTTGAATGTTAAATCAACATAAGAGGGGAGCGGTAATCCTGGCCCTCACTCATGTCATTGTATTAGATAGCTGTAGTACCTTGAGTTATAACTGAAATGAATCGAATTGAGTATTATGTGTAAGTTCATGTGTTTTATTTTCATATGTAATTTGAAGAAATTTGAACATGATTTGAGTTTTAAACTTATGTTTGATTTATTTATTAATTTTTTTTATCAAGTTCAAACCATAATCAAACATCTACCAAGTCAGATTGACTATGTGCAATATCAAAACGAGTAACATAGTCTTATTATTTTTTTTAAATCAAGATATAATTCACTCTCATACGTGATAGAACGCCCGTAGCGATAAAGAAAAGAATTATCATCTTAGCATTGCACAATAATCAATCAAAAACATATATAAAAGTAAAATAAGCAAGAAGAGACATATTAACTTTTTACGTGGAAACTTCTGAAAAAGGAAAAAATCATTGTGTCTAGTTCAATTAAAAGAATCCACTATGATGGTGCACGTACAGATCTACTCTTCTCTTTAATTAGAGAAGATGGAGTTATAAGGTCTGACCGTAATTAATGAAGTTTTTGGTGATAGCAGACTACAAGAGCCGTAGTTGATTGCTATGAAGGCAATAGTCCGTTGTCAATATTGTAGATGGTATTTATGGCGTTAGCTTTTTGTATGTGTCGCAGTTGATGTTTCACCTATGTGCTTGTGTGTCATTTCTCTCATCCTTTGAGCAAGCCCTCACCTTAGTAGTCCCACTCCATACACACACCTGCATGCACATCAACATTGAACTCGATCAAATTGTGTATGTGGTTCGTGGTTGAGGGCCTTGATTAATTATGGAGGCCGGAGTTAAAAGCACATTAACTATTAATTTTTAATAATTCTGATTAAAATTGCTCAAGTTATACATATTATAAAAAGTACTTTTATTATAATAAAAAAAATTTATTGACTTTCATATAAAAGTCTTGCTACATGGTGTGCTGTTTTGATTCATGAACCTCTACTCAAAATACATCTTTCTTTGAACAGCTCCTGATGCAATTTTTTCTCATAAACAATAGGAATAGTGCAATTATAAATCTATTGTCTATGTGAAGGAACAGTAAACAAAACCAATATGATAAATCACAGTTGGAGAGAATTGAGACACAAACCAGTAACATCAACTCAATGCAACTTCTGGAATTCTCTAAGCCGCTTTAACAAACTAGACTTGCAATTGCCAATCTCATCAAACTCAGAAGAATCTGGAGCAGAAGCAACAATAATAGCAGCATTAGCCTGTTGCAATATCTCGGCAACAGCATCTGTTATTAGAAATTTAAGACCAAATGTAAAATAATCAGAATAGAGGTATTCACATTCTAAGTATTAGCAAAATGAAGAAATAGCAGTTTTTTTTTTAGAAGAGTAATATTGAGTATTAGCAAAATGAAGAAATAGCAGTTTTTTTTTTTTAAAGAGTAATATTGTTGAATTGACAAGAAAAGCGCACCAGAGTGAGAAAGAGCAAGAAGAGCTTTCAAAGCTTCTTTGCGTGTCTTGTCATCTTTAGCACCTTCCAACATTATCAGAAGATCCTGAGCTCCACCCATCTCTACTACTTTCATCCTCCTTTCATCTACATAATTTCACAAATACAGACTCAAAATTTTCTGATTTGCAAACTACAAATTAATCCTCCTTTCAGAGCATTAATATAGTAATTTATAAGCAGCATAAATGCTGACAATACAGATTATCTTATGTTAAATTATGATAAGATTATATTTATCATTTATTAAAGAATTAATATGCTTAGTAAGGTTGGTAGATTTATACAAATTTGCATTATATGTTTTGCTTAGAACAATGAAGAGTGGTAGATGGAAGAGGAGAATAATCTGGATTAAAACACTGTTAATAGAGACGACAATTATATTTAGGAAAAGTAATCTGCATGAAATTCTCATCAACCTTCTAAAAATTTGGGGGAAATGATCTACTCACTCCAACCTAAGGCCTAATTATTTTATTAGGTGATCACTTAACCCACTTATTCTTATTCACCAATTTCTTGTAATTAGTCAGATCAAGTAATTGAATCTGTTCATATCCGGTACAATCTATTTTTAAAATTATCTATTAGAAAACAGTTCAATTATCATTGCTGGGAATTATAAATATTTCTAGTTATCATCTAAAGTGGTCAATAATTATCTCAATCAGAAGTTTGTGACAATAAATTTGACCATGAATGTGGAAATTGTGCATCTCATCATAGATCTGCATCGGTAAACATTAGGCCTAAGATGTCCTGCATCACTAATAGTGGTTAGAAACTTGAAAAATGAGGAGTCTAATGAGAGAGCTAACATCTAGACTCATTTAATATACAGATGTATTGCTTTTTATGATCAATAAGTTATGCAATACAAATATTGCACACACAAGTAAGTTCGGATCAAAAACGTAACATGACAATAGTTTTTTTATCATTAAGTCCATTTATTGATGCATGCGATTGGTTGTCAACTTTAAAGCTTAATCAACTCACGTTCAACATGAGATTAGTTGAGCTTATTGATTTATCCAGCCACAATTCAAACCAACCATATGTGCCATGATCTTGCTTAGAATAATGAAATAGTAAAAAGATCAGAAAATAATGTACTAATTAGTTACCTCTCTCTTTGTTGTTCCTCATACCATTTTAGCATTTAACCAGATCAATGGAGAGTTCAAAACAAGGGACGAGACAATGGCAAAATAAATTGGAAAGATAAAGACGGAGATTGGCTGATTCACTAGTTTAAAAATTGAGCACGTTTGAAGAGAAGAAAATCAAATCGTTGACCTGTCATGAAGCCTTCATCTGGGAGAGGGGCAATCTCGAAAACTCAGTCGACCTTCGATCGAAGAACCACTAGCAATGGAAATCCATAGCGAGGAAAAGAAAAGCTGGATTAACCAGTACGTATGCTACCTACACATAGGGGAGATTGACGAGGAGATCACCAACTACATGAGATTCAAATTTAAAGTTGCCCAGTACTTATTGTTCGAGAGAAAACTTTTTAGAAAATTGGCCACATCCTTATATTTGAAGTGTGTCGGAGAAGACGAGTTTGAAAATATCCTCCGAGAAGTTCATGACGGGGAATGCTGAAATCATTCTGGGGGAAAGCCGTTAGCCCACCAAATCCAGTGGCAGGTATAATTTTGACCAAACCTGCTCAAAGACGCAGAATAATACTATCGAAGGTGCGCACAGTGTCAAAAATACATACCATATTGTGTCATCAACCGACTCAAATGCTTCATCCAATCATCAGCCCTTGGCCTTTCACCATGTGGGGTCTCGACATCCTTTGACATTTTCCTCCGTTGAGAGGACAACGAAAGTTCCTGCTGGTGGTCGTCGATTACTTCTCCAAATAGATAGAACGAAGCCCTGCCCCTCGCCCACATAACAGCGGAAGTAGTCTGAAATTTCATCTTTACCAACCTGATTTGCCGATATGGATTGCCTCCAGTAATAATTGCCGACAATGAAACCAATTTGCTGACAAAAAATTCCAATATTTTTACAAGAGTCAAGGGATCAATCTCAAGTTTGCGTCCGTACATCACCCTCAAACTAATGGGCAGGCAGGGACCTCGAACAAGGTTATTCAAAATTTTTTTAAGGAAAAAGGTAGGACCGAAGAGCAAATAGATAGACCTAATCCCTTTAGTATTTTGGGCAATTCGAACAACGACATTTTCACCGACAACACAAACTCCCTTCATGTTGTCTCGCATAATGGAAGTCATGCTACAACAACTATATAGCCAGAGAGTGCTCGCCGCCTTGGACCTCGACGAAAGGGACCTAAAAGAATGGTGCGAGGCGAACGACGAAGGGTTCAAGCTAGCCCTGGACCTCATCAAAGAAAATCGAGCCAACGCAACCCTTCAACAAGAAGAAATTAAACGGAGGACTGCTAAGTACTTCAACTTCTAAGAAACAAGACTTTTGGCTTCAAAATCTTTTACACAAAAAATCTTTTACAAAAACTCGAATGATCTTCCTTTTCTTACATAAAACAAAAAACAGAAAAAAATAAAATGAGAGAGAAAATGGAAGAGCACTCTAAACATTCGAAGATTCCCCAACATCCTCCTCTCTAATTTCTTCCGTGCCCCTGACGTCACCTGACTTCCCATTCGAAGATTCTTTCTCTTTGTCCCCTGTATTCGAAAGAAGCATGCCAAACTCCTCCATATCCTGCCACTTAGGATCGACTAACTTATGCTTCACGAATATCTCAATAGCCAGGGAAGTGTTGACGGTAATCTGGCGGGTGAGACCCTCGACATGCTCTTCCCGAGTAATCATCGAGGACATCTCTTTTAATTCTTTGTTCTACTTGAGAAGTGGCATCACTTGAGCCTCGTGTTCCGAGCTTCCAAGTCTCGTTCCTCCACAGACAGCTTAAATTTTTCCTCGCCATGACGGTTTTTCGTTTTAAATTTTGTATTCGCAAGGCAAACCTCTCAATTTGTTCTTCGGCCCTATCCAAGAAAATCCCCTGGAAATGCAAGGCTTCCGATGCAAGCGCGTGATAATGATTAGCCGCCTGACACACATTTCTCCGATCCATCGAGTCCAAAGTCTTTTTAAAGGAGGGGGACCAAAAGGTCTCTATCAAGATCGACGGGTAATCCCCATTTAAAGGGGTGCAAGGGTGCCACTCAGTTTCCCTATTAAGAAGAGCGTAATGGTCGCTCGTGCAAACTCCTGCCCCTCGGTCATGAGAAGAGGTCCACTCAGGCGGAATTCCTCCTCTTTTCGGATGAGGCAACTCTGTCACTAAAATTGGGGCTTTCCCTTTTTTTTCCAAGGGGAGTCTCCCTCCACAATTTCAGCAGCCCCCGATTCTCCCTCCGACTCACTCCCTATAGAGATATGATGGGAGGAGCGACTCTCATCCGCTCGATCGTGAAAACACAGCAACAAAGTCTCACCGGGGACCTCGCCGATCAAGGGGCGGGCCGATGAAGCTCCAAAATCCAGCGCACTCGGAGGCCGGAAGGCGTCCTCATCGCTCCCTTCAAAACAAGACAACAAAAATAACACAAGTACCACACTTCCGCACATAAAAGCGACTAGTACGAGAAAGATCAGCTTACCTTCGACACTTTCAGCTGATCCAAATAGGCCAAACCGGCCCTTGTCCCGTACGAACGAAGGAAAGTCGCCTTTCCCTGTTACGAAGCTACCCGCTTCTCAGCAGCCTTCTCTCTGACCACCTCCCAATTGTCAGACGATGCTCACAGCCCTTCGGTCATTGCCTCAGAACCGTCCCAGTGGATCATGCGCTCTATCATCTCCGAATTGAGGTATTGAAATATCAAGAGGTGCTGACCCTCGATCAGCGCCTTATGGTCCCTGAGGTTGCCAGGCAAAGTCCTCACCTTCTTTATCTCACACTCCACCGGGCTAGTGTCAATTCCCCACCAATTCCCCACCACAACCAACCAAGAACTTCGTTTTCCAGTCTTTAATCTTGTTCTCAAGACCTATCAGGTGGATCTTAAGGCCAGCGGCGAACTAAACGTAACCATCTTCACTGATACTGAAGGAGAGAAAATGGTTGAACAGTTCGATCGACTAGGAATCTTCATCCTTCGACAGAAAAGAACGAAGGTCATTATAGCCGCCACGAAATTCAGAAGAACCTAAGCAGGTATGATTTCGCATTGGCCAAAGATCGATCGTCGCTCCGTACAAAATGACGATCAAAGACCCATTTTGAATTGATCCTTGTAGAAAACTAAGTCTGGGGAAAAATGACTTGTGGCTTGCTTGTGACTGGCTGTCGGCCAAAGCTGGATGGAAGGGTCGAGAACATATATGCTCTGGATCTCTCTCAAGTCTGCCGCGGAAAGGATTGAAATCTCCCAGTCTGGAATCGATCTAAACGATTCCTAAGAAAACTTTTGCACCATAAAACCCATGATAAAACTCATGAAAACAAACAGGAGAAGAATAAAGAGAAAGAAGATGATGAATCACCAGGAGAAGAAGAAAGAGAAAGAAGATGATGAATCACGAGGAGGAGAAGAAAGAGAAAGAAGATGATGAATCACGAGGAGGAACCCTAAACCCTAAACCCTAAACCCTATATATATATATATATATATATATATATATAAACCAAAAAACACAAATATATACCCATGT